AAAAATTCATAAATGAGAAATCTCTAATTTGTTCTCCTCTTTGGTTACAGAAAAAAAAATAGCTATTCACATCATCAAAAACAGTAAATAACTTTTTCCAGTATTTCAGAGTGCATGGGCAGTCTGTTTAATGACCACAAGCTTCAGAAAATATCTGACATTTTCTTCCAGTAGGGAATAACAGGTCAGCTAAACTTTTGACATTCGGAGATGTGAAACTGTTCCTTACATAGAATAATTAAATATAGTATCTTTCTGGCAGTATAAAGAAATAACCTAGAAAAAAATAAGCCACATTGGCAATCCAGTGTTTCAGATGAGTACCAGGAGCCTGGATCATTGCCACAAGAAAACTTTACTTGCAAAGAATCTACTTTTTCTCAGAATAAAGACTAGCTTATAAGAATCTGCTTTAAAACATTCTTACACAAAGTTCAGGTATTTGGTACATTGGACCATTAAGGGTTATGAATAAAGTTGAATCTCATTTCTAAGAATCTGGTTCAGGTCCAAAGCCAAATTTATAGTCTTTCTCCATAAACCATAAGGAAACAGTATGAGCACAGGGTAATATAACTGCTAATAGAGTTATAAACTCTATTAGATTTAAAAAAAAAAAGTTATATAGTTACTGGTAAATGACTTTTAAAAACACTAGACACAAAAGTATAGTTCTAGTTCCTTTTTTAATAAATACTGAATAAACTCATTTTTTATAATCTGCCTCTTCTGTTCCCCACTTGTCTCTGTAAATCCTCTGACACCTGGCATCTCTGACCAGTACCCCAGTCCTTGAATGCATAAATAAATAAATCTTTTTTAAAAAAAAAAAGATCTGTAAATCACTGTTCATGTGACTCCTGAGAATCACATAATAATCAGGTTGAAAAGCTATGACAAGAAAATAGAAAAAGTAAAAGCAAAAAGCTCATAAGTTCAGTTTTCATGAAAAACTGATTTAAAGTTAGGAAAGAAAACATGCAAAAGATTTTCCTTGCATGGAACTAAATACAAAAATCCTAAAAAACATCAAATGAGAAGACAAGTGGCAAACCCTACATGAACATATCTGTAAAATAATATCACTAATAATAATCTTTACTAGATTACAAAAAGCATTTAATTGTGCATTAACTACTTTTTGGAGATATAACTGACTGCCCTAACATGCATCTTTTAAAGTACACATTTTAGTGGCTTTTTATTATTTTGTGCAATCACCACTATTTTATTCCAAACAATTTTCATTACTCTATAAAGAAGCCCTATACCTGATGACATTGCATCTTCATCCCTCCTTTCCCCTATAGCTGGGCAACAGATTTTACAGCAAAGATTTTTCTCAAAGTGCCTACTTCTGTTGCAGGTTTTTTGTAGAGTCTTGCTATGAAATCAAATAAGTGAGCTTCTAAATTGTGTATCTTCATATTCTGTTTTATCATTAGTCTTCTTACCACATATTTTACTGCTGGTAATGTGATTTTCTCCTTCAGCTATTAAATAAGGAATATTCCACTACTTTATTTTCAAATGTTAAGCCAACAACACACTTGTTTTTGAAATAACTTACTCGCTTGTTCATGATACCATTTTTATACATAACAAAATTCATCGGTTAATAATTTGTTTAGAAATTTTTATAGCATGACTGTCACAGTTTGTTTTGTTGTTTTTCTTTAATTGAAGTGCCATTATTTTACAACATTTTTAGAGTAGAATCCCCCCCTATCAATTTTAGTCACCTGACCACTCCCACTACCAAAGCACCCATAGACCACCATCACAGTCCTTTGAGATCTCACACTCCTAACCCCAGCTTCACACTTCCCCTCCCCCTTCCCCATTCTGTGGCTCAAATCTATGGCCACTTTTCTAAGGTTGCTTTCAAAGTTTGTCTTTGACCCACTGTTTAGTTCCCTTATTTTCCACATATAAGTAACATCTTTCGGTATTTATCTTTATCCTTCTGCCTGATTTCATTTAGCATAATTTCTCCCAATAAGCAAGCATATTTTAAAGGAAAATGTCACAAGCATTACGATTTTCTATTCTCCCTTGTACTCAAAGAGCAAAAATTTATAAATTAAGTGCACTTTTCTTCATCAGATAGGCAAAGCTTCTTAATTCATTCTTTTCTTTCTAGAAAGAACATTGTATTTAAACAATGTTAAAGCAGGTCTAGTTTCACATGTAAAGTAAGCAGTTATTGATAATGACCATGAAGAAGTATGAACACAAGAACTATATTGACATGGTAAATGTCAATACAATGATCGCTTTCTACGCGCTAAGAGAGATCCAAACCCTTCAGATTTTTACAACAAATGAAAGCATTTTTGCTTTCTTATAGGTTGTAATTTTCATGAGATTACACCATGTAGGATCAACCTACAAACAGTAATCAACACCTTGAATAGCACTCAGTAAGGGACTAAAGATATGAAAACAGTCTACAAATTTAGTAAGGGGCAAACAAGTAATTAAAGTTTACAAAAAATTTAAGTCCTGTGGGAGTGGGAAGGGTTAGAAGGATAGTACACTAAAAGGAGAAAAATAAACTAAAAGAATGGGATTGACAGGAAAATAAAGGATCACTTGAGGAAATGAAAAAAGTTCAGTACAACAATCAAAAAGGAGTATTGTTGAGGTGAAGGAACAGAAGATGAGAGACACCATTTACAGATAATCCAAAATAATCCAGAAGAAAACAGTTAATAAAAGACCTAATAGACTTAGTATGCAACCCCTCGGTTAAATTTACTTACTAATTCTAACAGTCTGAATATTACTTTGTAATTTTTATATATTACCTTTATTTTTCTCACCTCATTGTACTGACTAGGATCTATATTCAACGATAAATAGAACAAGTCAACTTCCTCATAGTTTCTGAGGAGAGAAAAAGCATATTCAAAGAAAAAGGTATCAAAGGCTTCAGATTCTTCAACTGTAACATTATACTAACAGCTTCAAAATTCTTAAGTAACATTATTTAATGAGTATTGGTTACCCAGCTAAATTAACAATCAAAAACAAAGACTAAAAAGCAAAAAAAAATGAGCAGCAACTGTGTATCACTTGTTCAATCCCCAGCCAGGGAGCTGACCCACAATGTGCAGCAGACCTCTCCTGTCTCGCCCGCTGCTCCTCTCGGCAGTGTATTTCATTCAGTACACCTGTTCTGCTCCCCACTGTCTCTGGTAAATCCTCTCACCACCCTCTCCTCCACACCTCTAGCCTACACCTCAGCTCTCCTACGCATTAAGTAAATAAAATAAATCTTAAAAAGAAAGAAAGCAGACACCTTCAAACAAACACATTCTACAGACATCTTTTTCAAAGAGCTACTAAAGGGTTTACTCCACCACAATGAATACGCAAAGTAAAATGATCTGTTTTACAATTAAAATTTTGTGTGGCCAGATGCATGTGTGACTTTGATGAAAACAAATCCAGAAAAATGATCAAATACAATGAAAACAAGACACATAATTGTTTTCAAGTGAGAACATTTTGCTATGTAAATTATATTTTAAACCTAATGTAGTTCTTAAAATAAGTATGTTATAATGAACACAAAAATAATGTACTTTCTATGGCAATATTAATTTTTATAGCTTTAGTCTCTCCTGGAGTATTTCTGCCCAAAGTAAAAGTTGAACGTTAATAAATGAAATGATGGAATGAAAATCCGCCTTTCTGAATTATACAGGAAAGGAACAAATACTTAGCAAAATCCCTCAGTAATGAAGTTCTTCTTGATTTTAACCATCTGAAGAAAGTTGGCCATTCCAAATACATAGAAGCTGTTCTACAACCTTCTTTATAAAATGATTTCTCTAAAACACATATGCAAAAGAAAACATACCGAGAGAAAAGTACAAGGGAGAAACGGGGAGCCAGAGCTGAAATCTGTATATGCCATTGTTAAATAACAAGAAGAAAAATTCCAATGTGACTGCATGATAGTGCTATCTCCACCCTTCCCATTTCAATTAAGCAAATTAAACACTAAATTAATCCTTAAAATTATTTAGGATATATGTATGTAATGCAAATGGGAGATTTAAATAAATGTCACTCACCAATTTAAAAATTAAGCTTTAAAAAGAATGTTGCAAAAAAAAAAATTTCCCAACTTCTGGACAAACTTTAAAAATATAATAAAATTAAAATATTTTCATAATTTCTCTTCAAAGGAATTTTAAGACTTTAAAATATGTAAGCAAGACCAATATAATTGCACTTTTAGTGTATATGCAAAAACATTATTGAGTGAATACAGACAACTTAATGAAAATATACAATCTTTAGATAAAAGCTCAGATATTAAAAAGTCAGGTATTTAGGTATCCAAATAGCAGGTTTTAATTTCAACATTATTGGATATTTTGAAAGATCTAAAACTTAAGACAATGTTTAAATTCAAAATTAAGATATTCATTATGAAAGCAAAATTCCAATGTCAAAAGCCTTAAAGTATACTTTTTACAGAGCTTGAAATACAGGCAACAGAATTATGTGCCATCAAGATAGTGGCGAAAACCAAGCTCTCCAAGTCAGTAAGCTTAACTGACAGGCGCAAAGACAAGAAAACAACATAGACTTGGGGAGTGCCCACAGCAGAAAACTAAGCCAGAAACATAACAAAAGCAGCACAGTCAACAAGGAAGGTATCTGGGAAGAATGATGCCATGAAAACCAAGAGAGAAGAGGGCTTCAAGAAAGATCCAGCAAAGTCAGAGGCTAAATCAAGATCAAAGAGAATGAAGATAAATCAAAACCACAGTAGAAAGTGAATGACCATATTGAATTGGTTAAGATTACCTATTTCCATCTCAACTGACAGAATAAAAGTTTATCTTGAAGGGAGGAGGGGAAGGACAAGAACACTTGGAAGAAAACGGACTTTAGTTATCATTCTTGCTGTCTGTAGTCGGAGACCAATAAAACAGAGTCTCTTTCTGAATGATTTGTTTCTTCTTAAAGGCTACACTCACCAAACTGCGGGGCAGGTAAGATTCTAGCTGCTCGAACAGGGCCATGTCGAACAGAAAACAGCTCTTGTGCTTCCCCACTGATCTGTAAAAACAGAAAAAAATAGATCAGCAAATGAAAATGCAAGACAGACTATTAATATATGAAGACAAGATCTAAGTTTCATCATAATTTTTGGTCTCAAATATAATATGGGAAATATACACAAACACATATTTATTGATCACACACATAAAGTATATTAAAACTTAACTTATAAATAGCTTCAGAAAATTCTAAACATATACTTAATATGAATAGAAAAGTAAATAAATGGTCTACTCTGGAAATCTGTACAAGTCTGCTCAGTTCTTGCAAAACTGTCTTGCATTTCAGAGCATAATTATGATTTTTTAATTAATATTCAGTATTCCATTTAAGAAGAGAGCAAATATTTCTAGAACCCTGAAAAATTTAACTGTTGCAGTAACTTTCATTAATATGTTGTAAGTAGGAGGAGGGGGTGTTGGGGGGGAATACTGCATAGAACATGGAAGTGGAATGTAAATGAACTAGATACCAGTTTTGATTCAAGAACCAAACAACTAACAAGCTGTTAACCATCTTGAATAAGTCACTTAACCTTTATAAACTTTTTTTATCTTTTAAAAATATTTTTTAACAAATTTTACATATACTGAATTTGTAAAACATAATTTGATAAACATACACATATCAAGATGATTACTACAATCAACAAGTTAACACATCTTCTCGATTACCTTTTTTTTTGTTACAAAGGCACCTGAAGTCTACTTAGAATTTTTTCAGTAATTTCAATACAATACTATTAATCATAGTAGTCCTGAACACTGTATCCCTAGACTTATTTATCCTGTAAAACAATTTTGTACCCTTTGAGTAATAGCTCATTTTCCTCCACCTCCTGAAAACTAGATTCTTTGAATTTATAAAGTGAGATGGTAAAGCTGCTGAAAGTAACTCAAATAATTTCAATAGTTTGTGAGTAAAAAGAAAAGTGTTACTAAAAAGCATCATAAATCATATCATTTTTAGTAACAATACTAATCAAACAATAATCAATAGCTACCCATTCATTTTGAGTCATATCAGATATATCCCTCTGATATAAACAGCACAGCATTCTATTAATCTAAAAGTCCTTAATGGTATGCTAAATGTGTCGTGTGTGAAAACAACTTCAGAACAGTTTGCTCAAAGAACAATTTGCTGCTAATACAAGTAATGAACAGACTAAATTAGAATAAGCTTAAAAAAGAAAAAATGGCTTTTTAGACTACTCTAAGTGGTAATGTAGTTCTCAATATATTTTTATAATTTCTAAGTGCTTGATGAAATATGTAATGTCTCATAGGGAAAATGGCAAACATAAAATTCTAAATACCCAAGAAATTATAATATAGGTAATAATGACCAACATTCAACAGAGGAAACATGTTGATGGTATTTTTTAATAGGCCTGTGAAACAAGTTAAAAATATTGACAATACATATAATTAATTATAATAAGGCCTCTGAATCTTCCAATACCAAACTACAAATATGCAAAGCAAAGCTACCATTTAGATTAACCACTTTTTTTAGATCTACAGCTTCTCTTCTGAATTTAAAAGCAATGAACTGTAAATATTAGTTATAAATGTTTTATTACAACAATGCTTTAAAAAGCCATCATATTCATTGTGCCTATAAAAATTACTACATGCAGCTCAGTGTATGATGCAGAAGTTTCTGTCTATAGCAGCAAGTCCCTTGGGATACAGAAGATGAGAGGAATGTTGGGTCTTCCCCACTATTTATGCAACAAGAGCACCACCTATCACCAATTAAAAACACAAAAGCTAAAACTCAGTCCAGGGAATAATAAGAATATGTCTTTCTACAAATTCCTTTGCAAATACTAATTTTCTAAATTAAAACCATGACCAGTGTAGTATATACCTCAAGTCCACATTTTATTATGGAACAGAACTTTAAATTTAGAAAAAGTTTTAAATGGCCATTTGTTCAACTTCCTATCCAACACATTCTCTAAAATTCAAAAATTACAATATCTTTTTTTTTTTTTAAAGATTTATTTATTTGTGCATACAGAACTGGGGTACAGGCCAGAGGCTCAGGGGTGGCAAGAGGCTTCACCGGAGACAGAGTGGGGAACAGAACAGGCAGATTGACGAAGTACACTGCTGAGGGGAGCAGCAGGCGGGTCAGGAGAGGTCTGCCACGCCATGTGGTCACCTCCGGGGCAGGCGGGAATCGAACTCATGCGGAAGCGGCTTTAGATTCTCAGTGCTGTGCTTTAACCCACTGCGCCACCAGGGAGGGCCACAGTATCTTTTTTTTAACCACACTTACACTAAAGGGTAAATCATGACTGTAATCCCATTATATTTCACATGTAAGTTTTCTCCATCAAAACTGCCAATTATTTAATTTTGAAAATAATTTGTTGGAGAATAGATAAATAATATTCAACATGTATACTGCTACCATTAACACTGAAATGAAAAACAAATTACAAAAATACTGTAGAACTTGCATTGAAATTATAATGCAAAGTAATGAAAAACACTTCTCACTCTAAGAAATGAACGTTTATTCAAATATAACAAACATGGGTTTATACCTGTAACAACTCATAATACTCTACCACAAGATCTATTGCTCTGTACTATTATTTCCATATTCATGGATATACAACTTAGTTTTTGATTCTATCAATAAAACCTTTTAACCACATTTAACTAACCCGCTATATTAAATTATACTAAATAAGAGTGAGTAAAACAAACCTGTTGGCGTACTCACAATATGAAAAACATTTGTTATCACTGTATTCAATACACAAAAGCTAAATTTGACACAGAAAAACCGATTTTGAAATCTGAACACACCATGCTCTTTTTAAAAATTTATTTACTCATACACACAAGAACCAGAGGTGCTATGGGGCAGGAGAAGGAGCCTAGGGGAGAGGAGGGCAGTGTATGTGTGTGAAAGGATTCGGCAGAGACAGAGTGAGGAGCAAAACAGACAGAATGACTGAAATACACTGCTGAGGGTGACAGCAGGCAAGACAGGAGAAGTCTGCTGTGCCATGTGAGCAGCTCTCTGGAGATGGATCTCCTGCTGCAGTGGCTATAGATTGCTCCATAGTGCTGCACTTTAACACCAATGAAGCCCATGCTTTTCAGCATAATGCTTTAAAGACAATTCTAAATGAGGTATCTATCCAAAAGACACAAAAACACTGATTCAAAAAGACACCTGTACCCCCATGTTTATTGCTGCCTTATTTACAATTGGAAAGACATGAAACCAACCCAAATGTCCAAAAGTGAATCGTTAGATTAAAAAGATGTGGTACATACACAATGGAATATTACTCAGCAACCAAAAAAAAAAAAACAGGACTTTTGCAGCAACATGGATGGAGCTGGAGAAGATCAAGCTTAGTGAAATAAACCAGAAAGAAAAGGAAAAATACCGGATGGTTTCACTCATAGTAGGAGTATAATGGACCAGGAGAGAAAATAATAATAATAATGAACAGCTATATACCAGAGACATTTTACAAGGGTGGAGTGGGGAATAGGATCAAAAACGGTGGGGGAAGGGAAATGCACTGGACTATGGTGATGGAACACAGGTGATTTGGTGATAGGAACCCCCCGGGGATTACAACTGAGATGAAAAAAATGCACAAAATGATGTAAAAATTAACATATTATTAAAAATAATCCTAAATGCCTCATTATACCCTAAAAGCTTCTATTTTAAATTCCCCTCTTTATATGTACAGAAACAAATTAGAAAAAACATTGGGACTAGCTACATAATACATCCGCACATTTGATACCCATCCTTCATTACCTCTAGGTTCAGAGCCTATAGTCTTTGTTTATAACATGAAAAGGCCAGGGAGATGGGGGTGTGGGGGCGGGGTGGGGGGTGCAGTGGTGTAGGTATTTTATACCTATTTATGGATATTTAAGAGTAGGTTAAAATCAAGACTGCTAAAAAAACAAGTCTAAAGCATCTTAAGTGACTCCCATGTGTCAAACTCCCCAGAAGTCAGAACTCTCCAAATAGTACAGGTCAATTCTACACAGGAATACAATCTCATAATAGAAACTATGCTAATGTAGGGTACAGATAAAATGTGTACATTTTAGAAAGGATCCCAAGAAAACAGGTTATGTCCTTAGAGGCTTTGCTTTAGCATTTCTGATTGTCTCTAATGATTTTACACTCACTAAGTTCACTGGCAATACTGTTCTCAAAGGAGTGTCTAAACTGATTAGGTTGTTTCAAAGTGATTTTTACATTTCTTAAGAAAAGATCACTGAAAATTGCAGAAAATCTGTGATGAGGATTTTACAGAATCTGAAAAGAATTACCAAGATTGTAAATTCACTTTCAAACCAACAAAATTACAAGAATAGAACGACAAAGAAGGGGTGTACCAAGCAATGTTTCAACTTCCTGGCAACTGCAATAACTTGGGGAGAGGAGGAAACTTCTCCAATAGCTCCTCCTGGGTCTCTGCTTTGTTCTTACTGGCATTTTAATTTCTGATGACAGACTTTTGTTGTTTGGAGCATAAACCGGACGTACCAGTTTGCAGGCACAATATGGAGAACAAAGAATGATTTGTTCACACTGTAGAAAAAAAATCTTTTCCAACCATAGAAAATAGCTTTCACATGGTGAAAATATGCAAATTAAATACCAAACCCAAAATGGTGGAGGGGGGATGAGGTGGGGTACAGAGTACAAGTTTAGAATCTCACAACTCAATCTAAGGCAAAAGGAAATTATAACACCGAGACAATAACACACACAACACAGAGAAAAGTCTATACGAAAGCTGTGGGAGTGCTCTGTTAGAGTGCTCTGTTAGAACTCTGAAAGAGTTCTATAAAAGCAAATGAAGGACGTCTAGCCTTCAGAACCAAACTTGTTTCTGAAATTCTGGTGATTTTTCAAAGGCATCTAACTACAAAAAGAGAAAAAAACAATCAAATACCAACGACAAGGATAATAATGTTCTACAGTGACAA